TAGTTGTAACTTGATGCTGGTATTCTGTAGTGATCAGTATAATCTTAGTTGTAACTTGATGCTGGTATTCTGTAGTGATCAGTATAATCTTAGTTGTAACTTGATGCTGGTATTCTGTAGGAATCAATATAAGTGGTAATCTGACAGATATACACGTAGTTGTAAACCATGATAAATGGTTACCACATTCTAGTTTTAGAAATCAGCTTCAGAATGAATAATTAGTGTAGCTTCTAATTTATTTTATCAATTAAAAAGAGTTATTTTTCTCAATTCAGATCAAATTAAGAGGATGTTTTATTCCCATGTCATACTCTAAATTTTATTCTTTGAAGTAGACATATAATGGATATATGTAGTTGTTTGTTTGCAGTGAAATAAAAAAGGGACGTCATTCATAGTTAGTGTTATTTTCTTCTTATCATTTTTGTTGTTCACCAGATGAGCCCACTGGCAGTTCCTCATTCAGTTCCAACATTAACTCCCAGCCATCAGTCAACATTTTGTGAAGATGATGACATTGAAGATGATTTTAACTGGGACAAGCTGCTGTAACTTCTTCATCTCACCAGTTCCAACATTAACTCCCAGCCATCAGTCAACATTCTGTGAGGATGATGATGATGACGACATTGAAGATGATTTTAACTAGGATGAGCTGCTGTAAATTCTTCATCTTACCAGTTCCAACATTAACTCTCAGTCATCATTCTATGAGGAGGATGACATTGATGATGAGTTTAACTTGGATGAGCTGCTGTAAACTTCATTTTGCTAGTTCCAACATTAACTACCAGTCAACTGTCAACATTCTGTGAGGATGATGACATTGAAGATGATTTTTAACTGGGACAAGCTGCTTCATTGTGTTGACAATTTAATACTCTCAGAGAGAGAAATCCTTCACTGTTGTGTTTTACACCAACTTTTTTTTTGTGTTGGTATGAGACAAGTGAGTTGTTGACATTTAAAGATAATTGCAAGTTGAACAATAGAGTATTTTACTGAAAAATGTTGCAAAACTCAGCATACTTATGTGTGCCACAATTTATTTTATAGAAGCCTTTTAACTTGTACTGTTATATCTGTGTTTGTATGATAACATTTTATGAGTTATTTAATATTCTAATTTTAGAATGTTTGTTACTGATGTAGTATTTATGATAAATCAGGCCAGTATTTCTCTGTTGTCGTATAGAAGCTGCATGTATGTATAATTGAATTTGTACATACTTGTGTGATTTGTTTCTACGTGTAGGTGTAGATAGCCGAATCCGTCCAACATGTTGAAATTATTGTTTATCATTTATATTTACTACTGTCTTTAGTATTTGAATTTCTTAGTAACTTAGTTTTCTGAACTCTTTAAAAAAAGTAATAAATTACCTTCAGTTTGCTTGTTCACATTTTTATCTGGATGGAGTACATTCATGTCAGTAAGCCTTACCAGTAATATTTGTGGCAAAATATATAAATGTTAACAAACACAATAATTGTTTGTTTGGCATCTGACATATCTTCTGGATTTATCATTAATGTTAGTAGTAAGGTAATGTGTATTATTTTTAACCAATATATATGTGCTAGGTAAACTTTTCTATTTAAAACAATGTTGGGTTTTAAAAATCAGATTACTAATGTGTATTGAGTGTACAGAAGATGGTAGCTGATGGCAAATTGAAGAAAACATTGATAATCTGTGTTTATGATTAGCTGATGACAATAGATCATAGCTTATGATAACAATTGTTACATGTCAATAAAATGCCTGTAAGTATATCATTATTTGGAGGTATTAATAATGCCTACCTGTAAGTATATCATTATTTGGAGGTATTAATAATGCCTACCTGTAAGCTTTACTGTACACACAATTTATTTATTTGAAAGCCCAATGAAAAAAATTTGCCAAAATGTAGAAAAAAACATTATTTCCTGTGGATGGTGTATTGTTTACAATCTGTATTAAAAAAAAAAATACGGGAGATAAAACTAGTTTTGGTAATAAGCAATTTTAAATCCAAAGTTAAAAGGTTTCCTCATTCAAGAAAAACTTGCCTATGAACACTCATTACAATAAAATGTCAGTTTGCCATTTTCTGCACAAGAATTTTTTTTCTTCCCAATATAAAACAATTATTAATATATTTGTATAGCCTTGGATTTTTTATTTCCAAGTACAGTTTTATAAATCATAGTACATTCTAGTCTCTTTTTTCACTTGTTTCACATGACTGTGATCCTTTGAAAACGTATGTATTAGAAGTATGTTTAAAACCAGAATGTTTTAGCTATACATACATTGTAAAGGTTAAGTATTCAGTAGCATTATTATTATGTTCTCTGACTAATGCACCAGTTGTTTGTTGTAGTGCTGATTGTTAAAACTGTTTTATTAATATTAATGTATAAAATTTGTTGAGATGAAATTTAATTAATTTGTATTGAAAATGAATTAAATATCAAAAAATTTACATATTTTTTGCAGTAACAATATCTGATCTGACACCAATTATCTTTCTTACATAAAATTCTTTAAATATTAAGTGAAGAATAGTTTTTTCAATTGCATTTTTTCCAGTAAGTCAAGACATGATCACACGAAGGTTTATTGTGAAAAAAACACACTCATCTTTGATAAGTAATCTTTAAAAAGGAGGTTGAATCTTTGTAAAAGTCATGATAAGCAAATTGAGCTCTGATTATTTAGAGAAAGCAGTGTTTATTAAGTTAGATCTTACCAGAGCAGTAGTGTTTGTACTTTTTTCATACTGAAGCTAAGAAAGTGACAAAAATATGCTGCACAGTGATGGTTTAACCCTTTATGCCTATTCAAGATGAATAGGTCATAAATTAAACTATCTTGTATACATATATATATATGTTAGGCTTGGAAGCTAGCTTGCATTGTCTCTTTTTTAAGCTTGAGTTCTTCAGGTTACATGTTGGTCAGAATGAAATGATATTGTAATGTCCAGAAGAGGAATTTTTTGTAGATTCTTACAGTTGTCAATGGCTTAGTTTGATGAGAAGCTAATAGGAGAGCCATTTTTATTCCCCAGCTTTGTTTAAATAGTACTGTAGCTTGTTTTTTACCAAACTGTATAAAACATATCCCTGACTTGAATTATGAGAAAGTTTGCATGGATAAAATATAATAAATTTGTGTTTATTCTAGTATGTAACTTGTGTCTGTTATACAAGTCTAAAGTTTAAATATATTTCAATGCCAAAGATTTTGTTGAAAATATTTTCAAAGAGTAAAATATAAAAAGTTTAAAATAGAATCTAGCTATTCATTAATTTTGAAGTTAATAGTTTGTAATATACACCATAGTTTTTTTAGAATTAAATACTTTAAACTTACTAGAATTATTCTTTAAACGTTATTAAAGCATTTTGATAGAAGACAGTTTACTAAGAAATTAAATTCTTCAGTTCTTATAGTACTGAATTTTATAATAGTTTTGATTCATAACATTAATATTTTGTTATTCTTAAAGTACAGGGGACATTTTTAGTCTATTTGATAGAAATGGCCTGCCCTCAAAAATAGTTTAATATTTATATAAAAATTTAGCAGTCTTTAAGTGAATATACTAATAAAAGAAATTATTTACATGTCATAAAGTTGAGTGGTTAAGGCTTTAGTGAATTGTGAATGAAATAGTTACATTTTAGATTTCCTGCTTTGAATAATATGAAAATTACGATTCAAGAAACTCAATAACTGAAATCCACATCCTTCTGAAAGTGTTTAGATTTTTGTTTGAAGAATTGTAAATGTATTGGTAGTATGTAGTATAACTATTACAAAAATTTTAACTTATCCTATCCTTCCGAAGTTTTTTCTGATAATTGTAACAACTTTATTCTTCTCACACTTTAACAGTGAGAATCGTTTGAACTAAATAGCTCAATGTTTAAAAGTATATTTCTTTATACCATTTAAATACCTTACTTACCTTTATCTACCTCTATCTTCAAAATACTTTGTGGAAGCTTTGACGACCTATATCTTGATTCATTTAAAAAAAAAATTAATAAAACCTTTATCTTGTGTTTTTTTGTCAAGCAAAAGTCATCTTGCAGAAATATATTTTGTCCCTAAATCTTAATATCTTTTTATCGAGGGATTTTTGAGGCATTGTAGAAATGAATGAATATCTGTTTTGTTTGCCCTGATGAATTTCAAATACGATGCTGAATCTTTTTTTACTTTTCTTAATCTTACACTTTGTCGAGGAAACCTAAAGAAATATTTTGTTCTTATTGGTGTGTTATTAACAACTGAAAACTTTTATATATTTAAAATACAGGGAGTCCCCGTTATAAGTCGTGATGCGTTCCTGGAAAGTGAGACGTACGTCTGAAACGATGTTAAGCAACAGAATCTTTCGATGTGTTGTGTGGGATGCGTTCATGAAAAATTTCGGCCCGCTCTTGAATAAATTCTTAAAGGGTGTAAACATAACTGTTTTAACTACAGTGTACTATACAAAACATGCATGTAAGAACGTTAAAGGACTAAACAGTTTAGTGCCAAAGTTAATTGTTTTCCTGGTCTTCTTGTCAAGGGCACTTTACATATCACTAGGTGACCGCTTTGGAGCCATGTTGGAAGGGTGAATAAACAAGGCATTTCTGCAGCAGAAAAAACAACGTGCTTAGGCAATGGCACGTGAACAGAACGTGTTTACTTCCTCTACCGTTTGGGCCAGTGTACTATGTATCACACTCCTCCAAGTAAATTTGTCCGACATTGGTACACTTTAGCAATGGAACACTGCAACGTTGCTTCACACACATATTGGTAGTACCGTACTGTACAGTAATTGGTGAACAATACGCCTGGTAAACTAGTCCAACAACGTTTTAACACTAGTAACGAAACAAGACGATATTGTTTCAATAATATTGGTAGTAATTGATGAACGCTCTAACAATGAAACAACGCAGAGCGATGTAACGTATAACGGGGACACACTGTACTGTTTATTGTGATGATTATAATGTTTTATTTCATTTAATATGAACTTTATATTTATTTTATCCAGTAATATGGAATCTGATTTCATCTCTGAAAATTAATTTAAGAAATGTATATTTTGTTGCTTGTTGTGCTAAGTTTGCCTCTTATTCTGATATTGCCATGCTTTGGACTTTATAAATCATTGATCAGTTGTTCATGTTATAAACAAGCAAGGTTTTTGTCTTCGTGTATTTTAATAAATGGAACTTGTTAAGAATAACGCATCAAGTTAATATTTGTCACGTTACATACTCGAAATGAATTACTACTATATCTTTAGATAATTATCATCTGGACAATAATCTGGGTATTCAGATAATAATTAAAACTGTTACGTCATAAAAAATTCATATTTAGATTTATATGAAAATGCCTATGAAATAGTTAACCTATTTTGGAGTAATAATATTATTATTAATATTATTAAATCAGCATTATTTTTTTCATGTTTTTTTGTAATTAAACACAAAGCTACACAATGGGCTATCCGTTATCTGCCCACCCGGGTATCGAAACCCGGATTCTATCGTTGTAAGTCCGCAGACATACCGCTGTGCCACTGTTTTTTTGTTTTGTTTTTTCATAATCAACTTACAAGTTTGTACCTTTCTTCCACATATATCTTTTCAATTAGGAAATGTCACCAGTACAAAGTGTGAGCGTTTATGGTTGGAAGATTTTTATCGGTCATACAGAAATGTAATCAAGTCACATTTTTTTTTTTTTTTTTTTGTGAGATCTCTTCCATTAATTACCATCCAAGTAGACAAAGGGTTGAGTAAGGTTTACACTATCACTTAACTTCGAAACTTGGAATTTATATTATGTTCATTTGTGGCTCATCTACATTTTGCATAAATGCTTTTTCATCCACCAGGGGATTCTCAGAAGAATAAGTATGCATCCTTGATTTTGCTCTAACGGTACTGTAAATAAACTACTATGTTGAATGTTTTTTTTTCTTAAAGTTACTGTATAATGGAACAAAAAATACATGATTTTTTAATATATCATTTTGTTTTGTAGGTACAGTAAGAGATTTCCCAAAAATCACTTTTTGTTTTGGCTGATACTGTTTTAAATTTGTATTTTAGAATTATTTTTCATTTAAATTGTAATTGCTTAAAGAAAATCATTGTGTAAAGTATTTTGTAAAACTCTTGAACGTGTTTCCTTTAAAGGGCTGTGACATTTTATGGGTGAGATGTGATCAAGCAAGTGTGATATTATCTTGTCAATAAGTCCGTAATAAAGCAGGTGTGACATTATCTTGTCAATAAGTCCGTAATAAAGCAGCTGTGTCATTATCTTGTCAATAAGTCCATAATAAAGCAGGTGTGACATTATCTTGTCAATAAGTCCGTAATAAAGCAGGTGTGACATTATCTTGTCAATAAGTCCGTAATAAAGCAGGTGTGACATTATCTTGTCTTTATTACGGACTTATTGCAAGTGTAAGATTATCTTGTCAATAAGTCCGCAATAAAGCAAGTGTGACATTATCTTGTCAATAAGTCCGTAATAAAGCAGGTGTGAATTATCTTGTCAATAAGTCCGTAATAAAGCAAGTGTGACATTATCTTGTCAATAAGTCCGTAATAAAGCAGTTGTGAATTATCTTGTCAATAAGTCCGTAATAAAGCAGGTGTGTCATTATCTTGTCAATAAGTCCGTAATAAAGCAAGTGTGACTATCTTGTCAATAAGTCCGTAATAAAGCAGGTGTAACATTATCTTGTCAATAAGTCCGTAATAAAGCAAGTGTGACATTATCTTGTCAATAAGTCCGTAATAAAGTACGTGTGACATTATCTTGTCAATAAGTCCGTAATAAAGCAAGTGTGACTATCTTGTCAATAAGTCCGTAATAAAGCAGGTGTAACATTATCTTGTCAATAAGTCCGTAATAAAGCAGGTGTGACATTATCTTGTCAATAAGTCCGTAATAAAGCACGTGTGACATTATCTTGTCAATAACTCCGTAATAAAGCAGGTGTGACATTTGGGTTATCAATGAGGTACTTAGTCTTTGATCAAACAGGTGTGCCCTTTGACTTGTTTGTGAGGTACTAATCCTGTGGTCCTGGCATGGCCAGGTGGATAAGGCGCTCGATTCGCAATCTGCGGGACGCGGGTTCGAATCCCCGTCCCACCAAACATGCTCGCCCTTTCAGCCGTGGGGGCGTTATAATGTGACGGTCAATCCCACTATTCGTTGGTAAAAGAGTAGCCCAAGAGTTGCCTTCCCTCTAGTCTTACACTGCTAAATTAGGGACGGCTAGCGCAGATAGCCCTCGTGTAGCTTTGCGCGAAATTCGAAAACAAACAAACTAATCCTGTGATCAACTGTTAACATCTTGTCTTGTGAATAAGAAGATGCGATATTTATCTCATTGTTAATATGTTTGTGTTACGTATCTGCTTGTTTGTTAATTTCCCGTAGAAATTCTTTTCGAGAAACTTCAGCGATACAAGTCCTTTCTTAATTAAAACTAGTTTATTCTTTCTCGTTACAAACTTTGTAATACACTTAATTTCCACAGACACTTTAAACTTAACTACTTTTATAAACCCACGCTATAATTCACAGCGATTCACACACTTTACTTACGATGCCTACTGCTCGCTTGACTCGATTATCTCTATCTTCAATCTCTCTATCTATGCAATTATTTGCCGGGCTTATATACTAAAATAGAGTGCGTCTGGCAAACACTCGAGCCTTTATGATCATTCTAGAAACTCATCATTTGTTACCAGCGTCACGTAACTTCCGCTGTCGTAACCCTGCCCCCTTCCTTAGTATTGTTCGTCCCGAACAGTAGCCACTTACATTAAA